TCTCTCCCTGGCTTGATTTTCGAGATATTCGACTAGATGGATTAAAATGGTGCACCCTGTATATATATATATATAATTTAGCTAAATCGGAGGGGGCCATGTCTGGTGTTCCCCTTGTTAGTTAAAATATTTTTTATCGTTTTCTATTATTTCTCCCATCTTTCTGACAAAAGTTGAATTCCGCGACACTAAAACGAGTTGTCTTTTAAAACAAGCCATATATCCATCCATTTTTTATTTGTTCATAATTGGAAAAATGTGTAATTGACCAATGAGTTTTTTTTATAGAATGTTATAGTATCCTATAGGATTTTTGATTCATGTTTGAAAATTTGTATAATGTAAAATTTAAAAACCTGTATAATTTGATTCACTGCATGTACTTTAGAGCATTGGCTTATAAGAAGTTTCTATTATGTTTTTCTGTACTCTACTTTTAATGTCAGATTTTTATGTACTAACTGCTCATATCAATTATTATATTATGGTAGGGACAAAAGTAGTCCCGAAAAGTCCTTTAGCTGTTTATGCTTATTTATTCATATATATGCATATTGTCCATAAGTATACCACATGATCTGATTATGAGTATATCAAGTGATTATGTATTTTTGTAAAAATACTAATTTAGTCATATTTGTGGATAGAAATAATAGCCTCTATCGGCGATACATTTGGTATCAAATAAGACGGCGAAATGATCAATATTGTTAGTGTAGAGAAGTCAACATATCTTAATTATATTTCAAAGAATAAAAAAGATTTCTGAGATTTGGATGTAACATATATACTCATAATCTATAATATGTTTTTATAACGCCTTTTATTTAAAAAATAAATGATATTTAGAAAAATAAATTTTATAAGATTTTTGTTGTTAGTTTCTTATTTATATATATGTGTAATTTCTTCACATTAATATTTAAATATTAAAGATGATATAAAAGTGGTAATTATTATAAATGGTAATAGTTATAAAATTCTTACTAACATATATTGTACATTTAAAATAAATTGTAAATATATTAATATTAATTTTGAGATGTTTCTAGATTGTTTGATGTATTCACAAAACTCATCAATTTATACTATATTAACGGGATTAAATAACACTTATGGAAACATAACCTTCTGGATTAAACTTTGGAATCCTCTTGATGAACAAAATGTATATTACAATTGTTAAGTTATAAATAAATCTAATAAATCTAAGCATAAATTATAATATAATTAGTGAAATTAATTCAATATATTTAGGCAGAAGCCAGAATATTACTCAGTTTACTTCCAATTCCATCCTCTGCCAAAAAAATTGCTCAAGATTGGAAGGCAGGAGTTGAACTTTTGATTTCAAATAATGTCAGCGGTCAGATATATCCATTTACTGATGTTAGTGCAGATAATTCAAAAATAAAAAAAAATGAAAATATATTCAGGAAAAATTGTCCATATATAATTGTATATAACCATATATAATTATATAAAATTATATAAGATAAGGTATAATCTATTATATAATTATATATTATATATATATACATATATATATAAATATATTATATATTTTACATAATGTTGTGTATATACATGTAACACTTATTATACATAAAAATAACAAGAATTAATGAAACAGGCCATAAAAGTCAAACTTGGTGCGTAAGAATTATTTTATTAAATTATTGAGTATAAATATATATTTTAAAAATCTTCTTTAATTATGCATTTTGCTTTCATTTAGGTTTACTTCAGCGATAAATAATATGTTTATAATAGTTTCGCATTTTCACCGGAAGAGCTCGTCGGGATGTCGGTTCGAGGTTACAAATGAATACTCAGGTCGTGTTTGACGTAATATATTGATAGCTTTATTTTATAGATCTACTATTTACATTATGTATGTACAGGCGCGGCGTACACGGAGAAAATTTTATATTAAGTTTAATACAATTTTGAAACATATTTTACTATTTTTTGTATTATCGGTGGACCATCATGACTTTATAGATTAAATTACAACACAACATTAGTAAAATTTAAAACTAATTTCACCTTA